GCAGGTGGTGGAACCACTGAGCTAAATCCCCGGGTACTCACTGGTTAAATAACCATGTGTAAGGTCCCTCACGTGTCCAAGGCCCAATTTCTTCATGTTTAAGATGGGGATAGTAAGAATGTCTATCTGATAGGAGAATTCTAGGAATTAAATGCAAAAACTCATAAAACACTTAGTACAATTTATTTCACTTAAGAGTATCACCTCAATGTGCATCCATTTCGCTTTAAATGTCTCTACTTTCTCATTCTTTATGGCTCAGTAGTATTCCACACATATGCAGATACCAAATAGTTTCTCTGGTATGAGAAACTAAAAGTGTAAATAAGGATCAAAATATAGAATAGATAATGTGAAATAGGAAGAATGGGTCTAAAGGAGTAGGGAAGTGGGAGGGGTAGGGGAAAGAAAAGAAGGGAAAGGAAAAAATATGAGAAAAGGACAAAATGGAAACAAAGTCTCTGTAAATAGGAAAGGGTGGAGGGGGTGAAGGGAGGGCAGGGAAAGGGGAAAAAATAAGAACCAAGATACGTCATGTAAAGGTACAAATTCCCAATGATGAATGTAACTGTACTGTATACCTAAAATGTACCAATAAATTTAATGGAAATAAAATACTTAGTACAATATCTTATCAAACAATAACTCAATCCAACTAGTTATTGAGAATGTTTGTGTCATGTCATGCTTAAAAACATTTGGAGATTTAGGAGCTGTAGATCTAAGAGTTTGTCAGAACCATACTGAACTGAGCAGAATCTCATCCACGTAGGTACGGGACAGTGGTGAGCCACTATTTAAGGATCTGCTGCTGAAATTTGATGGATCTATAATCTGTGCTGAGATTGAACATTACATCCTTGCAGAAGTGGCGAGTCAGCCAGATCTGAGATTTTCTTCAGCAGCCCCACCTCTGCTGTACATAAGTCCAGAGGTGCCTTGCATATATGGGAGGAGAGCCTATAGGCGTGATGAAATGTCACACCTATAGCTGCATCTCATATGTGGCAAAGGGACTTTGCAGAGGTAGATAAGGATAGTGATTAGCCAACTACGGTTGGTGGCTCCGACGGGAATTCAGATGGAAGGGGATCTAGATGAAGGCCTCGATGGGAATCGTGCATCACACATTCCACTATGTAGGGACAGACCACCTGGGACAAATCCCCCCGTGACATCTCATTTGAGAGGCAAGGACCTTCTTTACCAGATTCTGTCTGACCTGGTGACTGAGCAAGAGGAAAGATATTTTGGACCCATGATTGTAGATAGATGAGTTAATTAGATATCTTGCAGGCAGTTAGATAGGGTCCCCCTGAAGGCACCAGCCTTCCAGGAGCCAACATAGCAAGAAACCAACATGGAGGACAATCGAGGCACTTTCACTGGTTAGCATTATAAAGAGAAGAGGTGCTACTTCCCCTAGAGATAGCAGTGATTGATGGGAAGTTCCTTGTATGTGTCTTGTCTTCCCATTTGACCCCCATTTAATCAATATTACCTGGGTGACTGTACTTGTCATCTTATTGGTTGGTCATGGTTTTGTCCCACCTCATGCCCACCTGTAATTTTCCACTGGGTCTTACAGTTTTGTCCCACTTTGCACCCGCCTCAGCACATGGCTTTGCTGTATAAAACATCTTTGAAAAGCAGGGTGGGCGGGCAACCCACTTTCCAGTCCCCCTTCTGTCTCTCTTAGGCAGAAGCTTTCTTCCCAATAAATTTTTCCTACTCTTAACTTCCCTTGTTCCTAGAATTCGTTCTTTGATTTTAGAGAACACGAACTCGAGTTTCGGATCCCCAGCAGGTGTGGGAGTCACAGCTCTTCTCCGTGTATCACCAAGGCAGAATCTCTTTAGGGTCCCGGTTATTATCCTTTCTGCCCTCATTTCCACAGACATGCTTTCCACACCCCTTCCTCCCACTCCCACCCCTATGGGAGGAAATCCTTTGTTAGTGTTTGGGACAGAAAAGTCGGTGTGGTAACCAATTCTCCTCTGCCCTCTGTCTTGCACATGGATTAAAAACCAGTGGAACCAAACAAGCGATTGGATGAGAGAGGGAAATAAATAAGAAGCAAAATAAATTGATGCAAATTTTCAAAGACTCCAAGATGAGAGGATTTGGCTTATTTCTGGGCATGGGAACATAGGTTGATGCATTTTGTGCTTTGCCTCTTAGGTCCACAGAAGGACCACTGCTGGTTCCTCAGGCCCCGGCTGTCTCTCTATGAGCTGAATGGCTGCGGAAGGGAGGAAGCAACTTTCCTTCCCTAGCAGGTCAAAGTAGCTCCAGCAGCAAGTGTGTGCTTGTGTGTGGTTCTCCATCCTGCACAACGCAAATCCTCTATTGTGTTGTGAGACATCATGCTGTCTGCTCGGAGCCTGTGCTTTCCCCTCCATGAGGGTAAGGACAGACCACTTATGCGGGGAGCAATGAAACCCATCCCAACCCCATTCGCACATTCTTTTCTTCCCTCGCTCCTGCCTTCTCAGCTCTTGGTAAAGTCAACTCTGTCTCAAAACAATCACCAGAAAGCAAATAAAGCACCAAGATTATCACCACGGCAGCTTCAGAGGTTGCATGGGGAACACAATCAAACATCCCTTTCCATTACCGCAGTGATTTTCCATAATTTTCTCAGTCCTTGAGCTCAGGCATTTTGCAAGCCTTCAGAAAATGGAAGGAAAGAGGCAGCAGGGCAGCTCAGAGGGAGAGGCGGGCAAGAGGAAAGCAGGCTTCTCCAGCCCGGGTGCCTCACAGCCTCCCGAAATGCTTCTTAAGTCAGTCCAGGGAGGGATGTGTGTCACTCACTCATGGGGCTTAACTCCTGTTCAAGGGTATTCCTGGGACAGAGAGAGAGAGAGAGAGAGAGAGAGAGAGAGAGAGAGAGAGAGAGAGAGAGAG